GGAGTGGAGAGGCCAGGGGCCAGCCCGAGGCCCAGAGGAAGTCCCGATGGCTGTTACTACATGTCAAGGAATCTGTGGCAAAGCGTTTCAGGTGTTAGGGGAATGCACGATTCCGCGGCAGATAAAAATGAGTAATGAGCCTACAAGGCGGACGGGAAGGCTGCCAGGCAGGAGACCAACGTTACCCCAGCTGGGGACTGCGGCCACATCCCCTCCCCACAGAGGCCCTTTCCAACAAGAGCGGGAGCTGAGGTCAAACGGAGCGAATGCAGGGAAGCACAAGGGGGTTTCCGTAATGTGGAAACGCTTCGTTCAATGGTAGGAGCCACATGCCAGAGGCTCTACCTACGCCAATTCCTGCCAGCCCAGGATCTGCTGCACTGGTGGCTCCAGGGGAGCTGACCCAGTCCGGGACCCACAGAGAGAGATAACCAGCCCATACTGGCCTTCTCTGCAGTAAAGGGGTGACCATTTAACTCGTGTCCCCCTGGGCTTGAAGCCTGAATTCTGCCCCATGCACCGGGGAGCCCTGGAAGGGCCTAAGCACCATCTGGGTAGCTGAACAACATCAGCGCCCGACTAGGGACCGACTGGCTAAGCAGCAGTTGTGCAGAAAAGGACCTGGGGATGACAGTGGATGAGAAACGAGATATAAGTCAACAGAGAGCTCTTGTAGCCAAGAAGGCTAACAGCATATTGGGATGCATTTATAGGAGCATTGCCAGCAGATCTAGAGAAGTGATTATTCCCCTTTATTTGGCACTGGTGAGGCCACATCTGGAGTTTTGCGTCTAGTTCTGGGGGCCCCGTTACAGAAAGGATTGGAAAGCGTCCCAGTGGAGGGCAACAAAAATGATTAGGGGGCTGGAGCATGTGATTTATGAGACGAGGCTGAGGGATTTGGGCTTATTTAGTCTGCAGAAGAGAAGAGGGAGGGGGGATTTGATAGCAGTCTTTACCTGAAGGGAGGTTCCAAAGAGGCTGGAGAGAGGCTGTTCTCAGTAGTGACCGATGGCAGAACGAGGAGCCATGGGCTCAAGTTGCAATGGGGGAGGTCTAGGTTGGATATTAGGAAAAACTATTTCCCTAGGAGGGGGTCGAAGCGCTGGGATGGGTTCCCTAGAGAGAGGGTGGAATCTCCATCCCTAGAGGTTTTTAAATCCCGGCTTGACAAAGCCCTGGCTGGGATGTTTAGTTGGGGTTGGTCCTGCTTTTAGCAGGGGGTTGAACTCAATGACCTCCCGAGGTCTCTTCCATTCCTAGGATTCTTTGATCAATGGGCAACGACGGACGTCGCAGGTGCTGAATCTAGAGAGACCGTCTCTCCTGCATCCCCAAAAATCTGGGAATGGGGGAACGTGAACTGGTCTAAGAGGGCCCTGTGCAGGGCTGGATTACCCAATAGGCAGACTAAGCACGTGCTTTGGCAAAAAAAAAAAAAAAAAAAAAAAGAGATTTTACAGTTTAGTATTGTTTTTATTTTTAATTACATATGGGGGGCACCATAATCTTTTCAGTGTTTAGGGCCTCTAAAGGTCTTAATCTGGCCCTGGCCCGTGGCATCATCCTAGCTAGAGTTAAAGGCTGGGCAGGTCGCTGTGGCAGTGGGAACCATAGGGAATACACCAGGACTGGCCCTGGTTCAGGGCTTTGGAAGCAACCCCAGGGAGAGCAAAGAGCTATTTTACCTTTTGAAGACAAGCCTGGCGCCAGAGCAATGACATGAATTCAACCCCACCCTTCTCCCAGCCCTGCCTGGAGAAAATACAGCCGGAGAGAGGTGTCCTTACAATGTTTATTATATAATGCCTTACAGAACCATACGAGAGACCAAAGGGTTGGACGCTTACATAGGAAACTTCCTTTCCAAAGATCAGTCCAAAGCTCCTCCGAATAGCGCACACACCCAAACTCTGACTTACCTGCATCAAAGCTTTCAAACAAGGGTTTCAGTAAGGGTTCAAATACACAGCTAATAACAATGCAACATGCATAACAAGAAACCCAGCGTGGGGCCGGGGCTAGCCGTTCCTCCCGCGGGCTTGGTTACTGGCTGACAGATAAGGTACAAAAAGGAAAACACAAGGAAGTCATATGCAGAAGAACATCCTGTCGCCGGAGAGGTGGGGGAGGGGGAAGGGTGCAGGGCTGGCGTGAGCACCCCAAGCGAGACGGGGCTGTAGGAGAACTGGGGCAGCTCGGCAGTTTCATAGCAGGGCTTTCAGGGAAACAAAGCTCCATCAGCTGGGACAGCAGCCTCCCTCGGCCATCACATTCATTTTCAGTTCCTATCCTACCAAATTTATGGCCATGAAAAATGCCACGCAGGCCATGAAATCTGGTCTTCTGTATTCTTTTACCCTATACTATAGACATTTCTCAGGGAGACCAGTGTGTCTCAAATTGGGGGTCCTGACCCACAAGAGAATTGCAAGGTTATTTTAGGGGGGGGGTCATGGTATTGCCGCCCTTATTCATGTGCTGTCTTTAGAGCTGGGCAACCAGAAAGCAGCGGCCGTTGGCCAGGCGCCCAGCTCGGAAGGCAGTAGCCCAGAAGTAAAGGTGTGGCAATACCGTATCGTGCCATCCCTACTTCTGTGCCACGGCTGGCGGCTGTGCTGCCTTCCGAGCTGGGCTCCCAGCCAGCAGGCACCACTCTCCAACAGCCCCGCTCAGAAGGCAGCGCCGCCGCCAGCAGCAACACAGGCGGAAGGGGAGCAAAACCGCAACCCCCTCCATGATACCCTTGCGACCTCCCATGGTTCCTTTTCGTGTCAGGACCCCTACAATGACGACACTGAAATTTCAGATTGAAATAGCTGAAATCGTGACATTTACAATTTTTTGAAAACTGTGAAATTGACCAAAACGGGCCAAGAATTTGGTAGGGTCCTTCCTATCCTGGGAATGAGAAATCCAGAGCCGGGGGAGGTTGAGCCAGGGCCCCATCCACACCAGACTAACAAGGATCCCTCTGCAGCCAATGAGCATGCATAGAACTCAGCACCTGGTGGCAGGTGGGGAACTCAGCTGCTATATTTGCAGCCTGGCCAGTTGTTGTTACAAACACAGAGAGCCCCCATGTGTTCTCCACTCCAATCTATTCCACCTGCAGCCCCCGGGGCTGAATTCTGAGCACAGCCTGCAGCCAAGACACTACGGAGCACAAGCCTCCCAAACATACGTGGGTGAAAAGATATGTGAGTGGGCCAGCTTAGTAAGTGACAACAAGCAGTTCCCTGTGCAGCCCCCAGGAAGGGGGCCGGGCAGACAACTCAGCTGGCTCCAATAGCTCTGGCTGCCTCTGAAATGCCCTTTTCTGCTCTGCTAAGTGGCTCCCAGGCAGAAGCAAAAGCTTTCGGCTCCCCGCGCTGGCACCCAGAGCACTACTCTGAATGCACCGCCAGAGCCGCTTCGCCGGGTTTGTGGAGCTGGGGTTCAATGGGCGCATTCGTGCAGCTCTCAGAACCTGATGGGGACCCGTCGGCTGAGGGGCAGAGTGGGGCAGGAGGGAGGGTTACGCTGCAGGGAAGCCAGGGCGCCGGAGCCCTCAGCACCCGCTGGCCATTCAGGGTTCCTTGCCCCAGGAACGACACCGGCTCCCTGAAGCCGTGAGGACCGAGGGGAGAGACACCAGAAAACCAGAATGTTCTGCTCCCAGCCATGGCCTGGACCCCCCCTGCCACGAGCGGCACAGAGAGCGCCGCAGCCTCGCTCCATGAGACGCCACGTGCTCTTCGCATTAGGGGACCAGGCTGTGCTGCAAACTCCGGTGGGGCAGGCAGGAGCCTGCAGCCCCTGGCTCGGAGCACAGGGAGCAGCCGGGGCAGGGGAAGAAAAGCAGGAAGAAGCAAGAGGGACAAAGCTGTGTGGTCGGCACACGGAGCCGAAGGCCCGCGGCCCGGCCCCTTTGCTCAGACAGGAGCTCCCGGCTCAGCCAGCGCCCAAGCGCATAGGAAGCAAAGGAAAAAAGCAAATAATGAGGGACTTGGAAGCGCCTTTTGTTTGGCTTTTATTTAGCTTCACTCTGCAGAAAGCCGAGGGCGGCTTATCCCGGCCTTAGGGGCAGGGCACAGGCACTTGAACCTCACTGTGGTGAGGGCGTCCGCCCTCTCCAGGGCCACAAAAGGCGCAGCTCCCACTCTGCCCAGCACCCCCAGCCGCTAGGGTGCCTGGCACGAAGCCCCCAAGCCACGTCCTCAGGCTCACGGGTGGCTGCTGCAGTCCCGGCACAGGATCTCATCCTGGCGGGGGATGAAGCCTTTCCCCACCAGCGAGCTGGCGCAGCGGGCACAGTTGAAACAGTTGTGGTGCCAGTGACGATCCTCAAAGGAGACGTATTTCCCCCCTCCGAAGCCTAGAGAAGGGGGACAGAGCACAGGGTAATCCGGAGCACGCAGGGCGGAGGCTCAGGGCACGGATGAGCCAGGGGCTATTCCGGTTTAGCTAAGGTGCGTCTGTGTTCCCCTTCCACTCCCACCACCACCTCACAATCGCAGGCAGGGCCCCCCCGGTGTACAGCTGGGGAGCTGAGGCCCAGGGACTTGCTCCAGGTCACGCAGGGAGCCACAGCAGAAACCAAAGGCAGGTCTCCAAAGCCCTAGACCAGAGCTGCTTCACCAGCCAGCCTGTGCAGCAGGCAGCCCTGGCCGTGGGCAGCCAGTTAGGGGTCTGGGCATCACCCTGAAGAACGAAACCTCACATCCTCCTTGGGAAGGACCCGACCGGAGCCAGCCGGCTGAGGGAAGCTGTGTTGGCCCCTTGTCCAGAAGGCAGGAGGATGTGCAGGTTTCCTAGGCGCTACTGCGGAGAGCCACGGAGATAAACACTGGGGACGGGGCGGGGCAGCTGGCAATCACCGACTGAGTGACTGAGTAGGGGCGTCGGCCTCCTCAGGAGCAAGGAACCACGCTATGGAGGGAGGCTCAGCAAGGGAGACCGGCCATCTCCTATTGCAGACCACTGGCAAAGTGCAAAGGGTCCAGTTTCTGGGGCCTCCCACCCCAGCCCCGGGCAGCAAAACTATCCCATTGTCCTCTGGGTGGAGAGCACTTCCAGGACCCCCACTGAGGATACCAGCAGCCCCACACAGACAGGCCTGTCAGAGCCAGCAGACCACCCCCCCACGGGGCGTGTCTTGGGGCCCTGGTGAGTTCTGCCGGAAGGCAGCTGGGTACCACACCAGCCAGTCCTCCCTGGGGGTGCACTGTACAGTCACTGCTCGGACAGGGCAGGACGCACCTAACCCCGGAGCGTTGCAAGAACACGAGCAGCAAAGGCACCACGCTGCCATTTAACCCTCCTGCCACTCCTCCGTGTGGCCTCTCTGCGAGCTGCTGGGGAAGGCAGCCCCACGGGCCTCACAGCTTTCTTGGCAGCGATATTCTCCCACCTCAGGAGGCCTGAACAGGCCACCAAGGAGCCTTGAGGGACTGCAGGGGGAGGCAAGAGCTGCCCAGGCCTTCCGCTGGCCGGCTGAAGAGGGGACGTCCCCATGACGACTCCCTGGGAAGCAGCTGGGAGTAAGACGCCAGCACGGGGGCTGCATGCTGCTCGCAGGCAGAGACCCCGTGCCCTGGCGTCGCTCGCTAGGGACCGCGTGCTGTGCGCCGGCCTCCAGGCTTACCTGTGATGGGCTTTGCGCAGCCGCTGCACTTCTTGGCATAGAGGTTCCCAAAGCACTTGACGCAGTAGGGGTTGTCCTCCTGGGAGGTGAACTGCTGGCCTGCCAAGGGGACCTTGCAGCCGGTGCAGACAAAACACTCCTTGTGCCAGGGCTCGTCGCGGTAAGTCACACCCCCCTTGGTCAGCGACTGCGGGAGGGAGAGCACAGTGACACGCCGTGCCTAGCGGTTCCAGACCTCAGCCTCGAGCCTTTCCCCCAGGGAGACTGGAGGCAAGGCTGGCCCACATTCCACGAGCGCACGGCGCTTATGACACGAGCCCCGCCCAGGCCGGCCAAGGCAACTCAACCGGTCCCTCAGGAAGCACTGAGCCGCACAGAGCTGTGGCCAGCTCTCCAGAGCAGGGCGTGAGGCCGACACATCAGGGCTCAGGCTCGGAGATCCTGACCGTGAGCCTTCTGGAGAGGCCTGGAGAGCAGCACCCCCCGTGGGAAGGACCAGGGAAGGGAGCCCGGCCATGCCAACCCCACTGGCAGCATGCTGGGTGCAGTCCTGCTGGCCTGGATCCAGGGGAACACGGACATGCATCAAGCTGGGTTTCACCCGGGTCCCAACTCAGGGGGATCCTGCAACAGCACCCCAGCTCCTATGCTGGGGGGCCACTTTCTGTGGTGGCAGCGCCCCGGTGGGGTGGCCAAAAGAAGCGCCGGCTGGGCCGGCTGTACCTTTTTGCAGCGAGTGCAGCGAGGGGCAAACTTGCTCTCGTAACAGGGGACGCAGTAATAATCCTTCTTGTCCGGGATAAAGGAGCGCGACCCGATGGGCTGCTGACAGCTGCTGCAGATGAAGCAATGCTCGTGCCAGGTTTGTCCATTGTATTCCAGTTTCCGGGACCCTGGAAGGGAAACAGGTCTGGGCTCAGGGCACCACGGGGAGACAGCAGCTGCTCCCTCCGACAAGCTCAGGAAGTGACACGTCCGCAAAGCAACAATGGTCGACAGGGACGGAGCCTTGGGTTGGAACTCGGCTCCAGGCTGGGGGAGGGAGCCTAGTGTGAGCGCTTCATACCCCCGAGACAGACCTAGCACCCCGGGATGCCCCTTTCTGCCCCACGGCCCGGTACCGTCCCTCCACATGGGGCAGGTCTCCCTGCACACGGAGCATCACCAGGGCAGCCTCTCAGCGCCAGATGGCCTGGGGGGTAACACAGGCAGGCAATGCCCGAGGGGCCTGGCACGGCCCCAGCCCCCCCAAGGCTAGGTCTCCATCAGGCTTTAGCCCGGGGTGGGGAACCTTTTTTGGGTCGGGGGTGGCTGCCCCACAGAAAAATTAGTCGGAGGCCACACAAAAGTGAAAAGGCCCCTCCCCCCAAAGTACCTCATTGAGGTGGCCCCCGACTGAGAAACAGAAAGACACTCCCCACATTCCCCTCACACCACAGCTAGGGGAGCCCGGGCGAGGAGATTTTGTGAGCTCCCCTGGGCTCTGGGGCGCAGACAAAAATGAGGCGCTCAGGGTGGGGGAGGGAGGGGGCTGGCACACCAGCCCCGGGGGGAGACCACAGGGCTGGAGCACTAGCTCCCCTTTGCTGAGGGGGGAGGGCAAGCCTCAGGGGCTGGATCCAGCCCATCCCTGCTTTAGCCAGTCACTTGCTGTCTGAGGCATCAAAGGCCCCTGGAGACAGGGCAGGATGCTCCGGAGACCCTGCAGCTGCCTCTCACATTCTCCTCCTCCATGGCCTCCCCCAACACGGCGCCAACAGACATGGGCTACTGGGCTCTGGGCTCCTCATAAGGGCCACTCAGCAGCGGGAACCGGCATGTCTCTGGCCCTCACCCGGCACACGCAGGGCACGGCCCCTGGCTGGGAGGACAGAAGGGGCAGCTGCTGGCCCGGCTCCGTCTCCGGCCAACCAGCCCTGCCCTGGCGCCCGTACCTGGCATGACGGTCTTCTCACAGGCAAAACACTTGGAGGAGAACTCGCTGCAGTAGCAGTCGTTGCACAGCAGCTCCTCGTCCTGGCAGGTGAAGGGCTCGTCGGCCAGGGAGCGGTCGCAGCGGAAGCAGCGGAAGCAGTGTTCATGGTAATGGCGATCCTCGTAGTACAGCTCCTGGGGGAGAGCGTGAGGGTGTCACCCACTGGCCCCATGTGAGTGCAGACCCCCGCCCCTCACTCATCCGAGAGCCAGGTCTCACTTGGGCACAGCCCTGCACCCCTCACTTGCCCCCTCCGGGCAAAACCCCCTCCCCGCCCTTCCCTTGCCCACTAGGGTTGGGGTCCAGGCCCCATGTGAGCACATCCCCCTCCCCCCGCCCCTCACTCCCCCAGTAGGGGTAGGAGCTAGGCCTCATGTGAGCACATCCCCCTCCCCCCGCCCCTCACTCCCCCAGTAGGGGTAGGAGCTAGGCCTCATGTGAGCACATCCCCCTCCCCCCGCCCCTCACTCCCCCAGTAGGGGTAGGAGCTAGGCCTCATGTGAGCACATCCCCCTCCCCCCGCCCCTCACTCCCCCAGTAGGGGTAGGAGCTAGGCCTCATGTGAGCACATCCCCCTCCCCCCGCCCCTCACTCCCCCAGTAGGGGTAGGAGCTAGGCCTCATGTGAGCACATCCCCCTCCCCCCGCCCCTCACTCCCCCAGTAGGGGTAGGAGCTAGGCCTCATGTGAGCACATCCCCCTCCCCCCGCCCCTCACTCCCCCAGTAGGGGTAGGAGCTAGGCCTCATGTGAGCACATCCCCCTCCCCCCGCCCCTCACTCCCCCAGTAGGGGTAGGAGCTAGGCCTCATGTGAGCACATCCCCCTCCCCCCGCCCCTCACTCCCCCAGTAGGGGTAGGAGCTAGGCCTCATGTGAGCACATCCCCCTCCCCCCGCCCCTCACTCCCCCAGTAGGGGTAGGAGCGAGGCCCCATGTGAGCACATCCCCCTCCCCCCGCCCCTCACTCACCCAGTAGGGGTAGGAGCTAGGCCCCATGTGAGCACATCCCCCTCGCCCCGCCCCTCACTCACCCAGTAGGGGTAGGAGCTAGGCCTCATGTGAGCACAATCCCCCTGCCCCTCACTTGCCCACTAGGGGTGGGGGCCAGGCCCCATGTAATCACAGCCCCTCGCACCCAGGCTCTCCCTCACCCTGCTGTCATGGCCGATCAGCTCCTTGCACTCCTCGCACGTGTTAGCGAAGTGGGCGTCGTAGCAGGGGATGCAGTAGGGGCCCACGTCCATCTGGATGTACTTCCGCCCGTACAGGGACTCCTTGCAGTTGTCGCAGTCGAAGCATTCCGTCATGGTGCCGACCCGGGAGCCTCCCGCACCTGTTGGGGGGAACCACGGGTCAGTCGCTGCTCAGAGCTTGGGCACTGAGCATCACCCTCACCCCCTCCGTGCACAGACACCGGACACGTGCCCAGCCGGCTCCTCCTGAACTGAGCCAGGCCACACACAGCCAGCATGGGGGCAGGAGATGCTGCTCCTGCTCAAGGACCACATGATCTGTGTTTCCAGGAACGGGCAGGTGTGGCACCTTCCGCATGCCCGTAAGGCGGAGAGACGCCTCTCATTGGTGCTTGGGGCTCCCTGCTGCATCCGCAGGCCAGAGCTGGTGGCTGGGTGGGCTGGATTTGGCCCATGGGCCGGATTTTGCCCAGCCCTGACCGTGACAAACAAAACTGCTGTTCCTCAGAGCTGCCACTGCTTCCTGATCTCAATCGCACTCCTCCCTGTGACCCAACAGCAGCCAGAGACGGAAGGAGAAAACCAGGCTGGTGCGACCTCAGCTCTCGGATAACGTGCGTCTGGGTGGGAGACCGATTTTCCAACTCCAATGCAGCGGCTGAGCCAACATCGAGCAAAACCAAGAACAGGCCTTTTAAAAAAAGGAGTTCCAGGACAGCGACATCTCCGTCTGGAACAGCATCTCGCAGTTGGTCGACACAGACTGTTCCCTGCCCGTTCCCCTTTCTCCCTGACTCACACGGAGATGACTGCCCACAGAGCATGCCAGGAAGGGCCTGCCAGTCTTTTGAACACGTCCACTATTGCGAAATAGAGTGGGTGCATTATTTTGGCATCCCTGTAAACCTTGTTCCACAAGGGTTAAGGGATGTCTCACAATAGTGTGTTAGTTCACAATTTGGCACTGTGTAGACGTGCCAAATTTCGAAATAGAATCGAAATAAGATACGCAATTTGCATCGTGCAAATTGCGTATCTTATTTCAAACTGAGGGCACAGTGTAGACACACCCCAAGACCACTTACATAGGGTAGGTCTAGACTGCATCCCTCTGTCGGCAGAGGGATGCAGATCAGGCAGGTCGACATTGCAAATGAGGCAGGGATTTAAATATCCCGTGCCTAATTTGCATAAAAATGGCCGCTGCGTTTTGCTGGCTCAGCACGTTGTCGGCAAAAAGCAGCAGTCTAGAGGGGGATCTGTTGAGAAAGAAAGCCTTTTTCGACAGCTCCCTTATGCCTCCTGCAAGGAGGTTAACAGGATCTGTCAAAAAAGCCTTTTTTTCTTGACAGATCCCCCTCTAGACTGCCGCTACTGACTTTACACAGATACACCAGAGCGAACTTGGGTGTAAATGCACCGCACTGGTGTAAGGGAGAGCCCAGGCAGTGCCCACTTGACTCAGTTCAGACCAGCTGTGTCTCCACGGGAGGCTGGCATGCACCAGCAAAGCTACATCAGTGCAAAAATCCCCCAGGGGGGACCCATGGCTCATTCCTTTGCAGGCTACTGGCACTGCGCATGGGGGGCCTGGGAAGAGGGGGAGATGGGAAGGGCACAAGCCCTTTGAACATGGTACTTGGACAACTCACTCAAAATACTGTCTCCGTTTGTGAGACAAATGTGATCCCCCAGCAGCGGCTGTATTAAGAACAACGTGCAGAAGGCCCTTGCTGATTCCCTGGGAGGGGGGTGACCCTAGGCATCCTTCTGAAACTGCACCAAGCAGCAAGACCCGAGTCCCCACCCAGTGCTGTCCGGCCACTTGTTTGCATTTCCTACGCCACTTCCCCCCCTTGCTCCCCGCCCTGGCAGCTACTGAATTCACCCATCTTTCTAGGCCTGCCGCATGGCGGAGGCTTGCAAGGCAGAGTGTGCTGCAGCAAGGGGCCAGCCTTGTACTGTTGGAGCTAAACTCGCTTATTCACCAGGCCCAACAGACCACAGAGTGCACGAGGGCAGGGCAAGCCCAGGGGCTGTCTACAGGCCCACACGCGCTGCCCCTTCCAGGGAGGGGAGAGCAGCAGAGAATGAACCTGGGCAGTTTGCTCAGGGGGGTGTGTGTGTGTTAGATAAGCTGCAGGGAAGGTGGCTGTTTGCTCCCTTTGTTCGGAGTCTCATGGCAGAGTAAGTCAGAGGTGCTAATCACACCGCCATGCCAAAGCAAACACGAGGGTTCCAATGCGGGGGAAGCCACGGCCCATGATGGAGAGCAGAAGGAGGAAGATCTGGGCGTTTATTTAGCTTAACAAACATTAAATCGTCCCTGATTAAGTTTGCAGATGGCAAAAAAAATTGGGGGAATGGTAAATGATGAAGAGGGCGAGTCACTGATTAGGGATGTTAAATATCGGTTAACTGACTAGTCGATTAACCTCATGAATTCTTATTGGTTACTCGACTATTCTATAGTCTCCGGGGGTGGGGCTGGCAGGCAATGCGCTCCAGCCCCACTCCCGAGGAGCCCCCTGCCACTGTGCGCTACTGCCTCTGTATGTGCCCAGTGCCAGCCAGGGAAACATTGCTACTGCCTCCGCCTGTCAGGAACCCCTGGCACAGCTGATTGAACTGAAGGCGCATTGAGTCTTTTATGGCATTAAGAGTAAACAAAAAAAAAAGGAGCCTGCAGGCTGGTGGCTGCTCCCAGCAGCAGCACGCAACGCTCCAGGACTAGCGGAGTCTGCAAACACCGTGGCCCGGAGTGAGACACATGCAAGACACCTGCTACTGCACTAGGAGAACCCGGTTCTCGGCAGGTCCCACGTGAAATGCAAGAGACAAACCCTCGTCACTCAGCACACAGAGATGGCAAAATCCCACAGGGTTTTACTTTCAGTCCCGGGTGACAATAAAGGTTTATTGTTATTTGGAGCGGTGCCTTTCCACCGGGCATACGCTGCCCTCTCCTTTCCTCCTCCCCTTGCACACCAGGACCACGCAGTGCCAGGCCAAAAACACCTCTGGGAACTCAAAACTCCAGAGTGGCCCCCAGCCTTACCTTGCAAATACCCTTCTGAAAAACACAGGCTGCATGCCAGGCCAGCTTGGAACAGAGCTTGGAACCGGACACTGTACCAGAAAGGTCAGCGAGCCAGAGATGAGGCACAGCAGCGACCCCTTTCTAATTAGAGTAACACTCAGGTAACACCGCCCCCGTCTCCCGGCAGGTGGCCTAGCAACAGTCTCAGAAAATTGTTAAACTCATGCCAAGGTCCCTTCGGGGGCGGCTGGGTGAGCTCAGAGGAGAATGCGCACCCAGGGTTTGGCTTTCTGCCACGTGTAACCAGCCAGGAGTTTAATCAAACTGTTCAGAAAACAACCAACTCCTCCAGCTAGCGATTCCACTTACACCCGAAAGCCGGTAACCCTGTGTAACTCCACACCATCGTCTGTTATCAGGTCACCCAACCAGCTGCCACGTGGAAGCCATACTGTAGCAGCCTCTACAGCTATTCCTAGGAACATGTTCATCTTTCCAGGATACAGGAATAAACCTGCCTTTGCTCAGGTTTCAGGTTCCAGCTATTCTAATCTGCCCAGAGCTGCCTGAACGGGGTTTGCGTAATTTACCTCAAAACAAATGAGCAGGAGAGGAAACGCAGCCAGGCAGGGAGGGCGAGAAGTTTGCCAAATAAGGCTGAGTCTAGGTAGGTGAGACAGGGCCCAGGCGAAGGTCTCGGGGATGCCAGACCAGCATGGGGAAGAGAATAATAGTTTCCCCTTGCTAGCTTTGCGGAAGCACTGTAGCAGCTGCTGGGGTCTGTGAGCAACTGACCCTGCCAGCAGATTTCTGCCTCCTGGGCAGAGAGCAGCTGCTGCTAGGTGTAAGAGCGACTCTGACCCCTGGCAGTGGGGCTGGGAAGATTGTCAAGCAATATCATCTGTTGCTGCAGCTCCCTTGTGCCATTGCTGCGTCCCAGGAGAGTCCTGACAGAGGCCAGGCAGGCTCTCAGGCCAAGGAGGCCGTGCGTGGTTGCAGTTCCCAAGTACGCTGTGTTAGGTTCCCTACAGGGCCTCTATCTTCACAGCCTTCGAACTTCACCAGCTAGGGTTGCCAGATACCTTCACAAAAAATTCTGGAACAAAATTGGTTGAGCAAAACAAACAAAAAAAAACAATAAAAAATGGAGACCAAACTTGTCGCGCCTTTAAATTCCCATGCTCCCGCTTCCCCCGCCAAACGCAGCAGGGGAAAAATGTTCCTACTGGCCTTCCGTACGAGGAAAACAGAAAATACCAGACATTTTACATGTCCGGTATTTTCTGTGGGGTTTTTTTTTTTACCAGACGGAAGGAGCAATTACCAAACTGTCCGGGTTGACACCTGGCAACCCTATCACCAGCCCCAGTGCCCTTCTGCTTCTGAGCAGGGCCCTCGGGGCGGGGGTGCCTGCCAGGAGCCAGCCTCGCAGGCTGAACGGGCCTGGAGCAGTGTGTATGGGCAAGGCTGGGAAATAAGCAGGGTTCCTGCCCCACTCCTGCCCCCACAGGAACAGCGGTGGGCTTGGTGCTGGTGCTGGGGTGGGAACACGCCCCGCAGCCTGGGCTGGCCAAGCCCTGCTTGGGTAAGGGCTGAGGGGCCGTCTGGCAGAATGGCCCAGCTAAGGGAGTTTCATCAGGATGACTAAACCTCACCAACAGCGCTGTCGGGGAGCTGCTGTGTCACATCAAGACTTTGCCCTCCTGCTCCCGGCAGGGCTGACTTTTCCATTAGGCCCAGTGCCTAGGGCCCACGATACTTTTAGGGGCCCACGAAAATGTTTTAATTTCTTTTAAAATCAGAAGAAAAAAAATGAACTTTTAGGGTTGAAGAAAATGTTTTAATTTTTTTCTCACATCAGAAAAAAACGAAACTTTTAGGGCTCCTGAAAATCTATTACATGTTGCCTAAACCAGAAAAAAAATAAAATGTTGAAGTATTTAAAGTGATCTCCAAAATAAGTTTTAATATGGGTATTATGGTGGGAGGGGCCCACAAAGACAAAAGTGCCTAGGGTCCATGAAAGTCATAATGCGGCCCTGGCTCCCGGAGCTGCTGAGTCACTTCCTGCCTTTAGCTCTCACCTTCAAACCTCTCCAC